GTTGAAACCTTTGATAAAACCTCCTTCTTGATGTGTGGCAATAAAAAAAGTGCGTACCCGCGAGATTGGCTGTGGTCATGCCGTTCATGCCGGTTACCGAAGAAGCTAATATAGTAGGCTGCCCAGCCATTGTAAGACCACCACGGATGGTAAACCCCAGTGGATTGCCTACGCGCTGTTGCTGCTGTTGCAGCATTTGCTGCTGAGGATTTAGGGGATTGAGGGCGGTGGCAAGGACAATCGGGCGGTTAGTTGATCCCTGGGAAGCGAGAGCTGGTCGTAGAAGGGCCAGGTTGGATGTGTTCATGCCGGAGATAACTGTCGCAGTCTGACCCGGTTGCAGTTGCGCGTTAAGAGGTGGGTTTGAGCGGATCATCGGGGCGTAACCACGCTGAGCATTGGTTAATACGGTGTGGTTCTGTGGAATGGGCAATCGTCCAAGGTTGGACGACTGTGCCTAAAAAGAGGAAAATGCTAAGGGGAAACAAAGAACACGAAATGCGTGGAAGACACGGCCGGTCGTCGTTAGGTAGGTAATGTGAGCTCATGTGTTGACTACTAGTGTAAATCAAACTTAGTTCCAAAAAGTAACAGGTCGTGGTCCGGAATGTAATCAACAAAAATATCAGCATCGATAGGATAGCACATAACTGTTGTCAGCAGCGAAAAGAGGATAAGAACGTCACCGAACTATTTCTGCGAAATAAGATGCAAACAGCAGACATCTTAAACCACCACCATGAAGAGCCAACAGGGAGCGCAATTACCCCCAACCGCATTTAGATTATTGGTTTATTCCGATCCGCTGAAGACTTCTCGTCCAGGACCTGTCGCATGGCGAAAACTGAACAAACGCATGCATTGAAATCAACAGTACAACAAGTACTGCCGAAATCACAGAACTGACAAACCGGGTAATACATTTTGGAGTTGGTGGATGAAAACTCTATACACAGTTCATGCACATGGTTGCCAAAATCGGAACTCAATTAGGCAACCAAGACGCATTAATCAGGAAAAGTGATTTTGCTGATTGAACGGAATCGGTCAATTTGCGGATAGCAAAGGAGACTGTGAACTTTTACGTGAAAAACCCGCAGGGATCAATAAGGATCCACTGTAACGTCAGTCACTGATAATTTTACAGATGGAGACGGAGAATGGTCGTCCGTTATCAAATAAAATTATTAAAACAATGGGAAGAATAAGCTTAAGATTTGGCTTGGTCTTAAGTGTTTTCCTTACAAATTTGGAAGTTTTGGGAAAATTCGAACACAGGCGTACTGCACAGCTTCTAAATGAGTTTACAGATATCAGTAAAATCAATTAGTATGTAATGCTTAGCATAACCAGCAGTTCGGAGGAAGTAACCTAGTGCACGAAAATGAATGAAGTAACCCGTTCTCACATGAGATAATCAAGCTCACTTCAGAGTAAATACAAACGAACTTACAAACTACCTATTGTTGTTGTGTAAACTTTCAAAGATAAAGCACATAACAATTCCTACGCGGTCACAGCACGAATAAAACCTACGTAGGTTACCTGCACCGTGCCAGCTTGGAGCCTATGAGCATATTGCGCAGCTGTTTGTACTACTGGCTCTGGATCGACAGCATGAGTGTCGGAGAGTTTTGAAGACCATAACTGGAGAGTAGACAGAACGGTAATCAGCATACCTTTTTTAGTTCCTGCAAAATTTCCGTATCAAGACCGTCCTCGATAAAAGCATCTTGCATGCCATTTATCACATCGTCAATAACGGCGTGATAAAATTTTGCCTTAAAAACTTTCAACCAACACTTTACGACTTACAACATCCACCATCCCGAAGCGAAACAGGACCGAAGACGCCGCTTTTATATATTGTTGGATAAAATTGTGTCCATTCAGTTTCAAGTTAGCGAGCTGGGCGGAGTTCAAGTTCTCTGTGGCGAAATATTAGTCGAGCGTAGGTGCATTTATGCTCTTCTGGATCAATAGGAGACTATTTTTATTTAGGCAAATTGAACTATATATTAGAGTTCTCAGCGCGTGCATGGCCGATGAGAATAAAGGATGTAAGGCAGCAGATGGTAGTGTGTTAGCATTAAGAGTACGAGAAGTCAGCAGGGACGCCGCGTCAGAAAAGGTTTGCTGTTATTGATTTGTTTAACGTTATGGTAATAACAAATTATGATCATGTCTGCACACATCTTTGAGTGCCGAGAAACCCATGCAGTCGGAGTTCAGTTAAGACTGTGAATGCGAAAGAATTTAGAACAACAAAACTGTAAACGGGAGTTTTAATGACAAATCCAACCTGGTACCGTAGAAAAGCAGCGAGAACACTGGTAAAAATGGGCACAACTTATGAAATTTAAAGTAAGCGAAAATCTGAGATTTTTACGAGGTAAATGGCATGATATATATAAGCCCTTGGGTTAATAAATTTAAACCATAGCATCTGCGATCTTCAGACCATGGTTACTAAGTAGAGAAAGAATTTGTTAGAGGCCAGAGTAGTAGGAACAGTATATTTTGTACACAGATGAACAAATAATAATAGGGAAGTAGATTGACTACGGAGAGCACGACCTTCCGCTGGGGCGGCGTGATCCGAAGTGATGTTTGGCGGCCGAGGGTGGGGAAAAAGCGACATGTTTGTGGGCTCTTGGCCCTACTTATGTGTTGTTTAAACTTATCAATAACCAA